AGGATGCAACATATCCAGGTATGTTATTTATGTCGTTTTGTATTTATGTAATTAAATAATGTAATTCGTTAACACGTGATAACTGCGTAATTTATCACAGATAGATACATTTTTAATTAGTGCTCTGGTCGAGAGGTGGAGACCAGAGACACATACCTTTCACATGACCCAAGGTGAGATGACGATCACCTTACAAGATGTGGCAGGCATCTTGGGCTTGCCGACCGACGGTGCTGTCGTCATCGGATCAACCTCTGAGGATTGGCACGCTGCTTGTGCTGGTGTTTTTGGACATGTTCCAGAGGCCGGTGAGTTCCATCATTCTGGTGACCTCCGCATCTCATTCTTGGATCGACATTATACCCGGTGGACTGATCATGAAGGGAATCATGCTGCCGAGATCTACTTCACAAAAGCTCACATTGCGCGGATGTTGGGGACTTGGTTGCTGGCGGACAAGTCTGGAGGTAGCAATTTTGGTTGTCGGCTTGTCCCGTTGCTAGGTGGAGGATTTGAGGACATTGGCCGATTCAGCTGGGGATCTGCAGTTTTGACACACTTGTTCAGGAATTTGTGTGAAGTGACAGATGCCCGTCGAAGCGACATGGGTGGTTGCCATATTCTCCTTCAAGTTTGGGCATGGATACGATTCCCACCCATTGCTCCACCCCTTCCTCCTCATCCACAGCCGGGCACACATTATGGATGCCGGTATGATTTATTGACTTCATTTGATTTCGATAATGTATGGTTAATACTGTATGTACTAACTGTATACTTCTTGACTTTGGACGATTATGTATGGTTGATAATGTTTTTGATTGACAGGTTTAATGCTGTACAAAAGTTTAAACCTCATGAGGTCACCCATTATCGGGCAACATTGGACACACTCTGTAGAGATGAGGTTTGGTGTTAGATACGTACGGTGTTGTTATTTGTCTATGGGTTTATTTTTTTTTGTAACTCTATATATTGTTTCACATTTTGTTTGTTGGTGGTGTGGCAGCTGTATATAGAATATGAGTGGCTTGACGTGACTCCAGAGCAGCAGTATATGTGGCTAGCTCCCACACCTATTATCTACTTCCACACAGTTGAGGCATGTCAACTGGATAGGTGCATGCGACAGTTTGGTCTTAATCAACCCATCCCAGAAAAATCTAGAAAATTGAGAGGAATACATGATCATACTCTACGGGGGAAGGTTGAAGAGAACTGGAGACGTAAGCTCAGGGCTCACATTGATCGATGGAATACTAGGATTCAGCATATTGTACTGCCACCTCCATTATATGGTTTGATGTCACCTAATCATGAGTACATGGAGTGGTTCAGAGAGAGGGGAAAGCGCTACATATCACGGAGGGCAGCAAAGATAGGGCGCATGGTGAGTTTTGTACTTATTTTACATTTGTTTCAAATTACAACTAACATTTTTTCGTAATATGCAGATTGACGGTCTTGAAATGCTATATCATGCAACAACGACGGAGGAGTTTCCTCGATTTGGACTACAGTATATCCACGAGGAGATAGGCCGAATTATTGGGATGTTTCGTGAGAGTTCACGAGTTGATGAGCCTGGACCTGAGGCACCCCCTGTGCAGACTCAGCCTGATCCTCAGTTGATTGTGGATGTTCCTCGTAATAGACGGGAGGGACGGGGATTAGGACGTACATGTGAGAGAGTTGCTGCTGAGCCTGTCCCGATTATAGCACCTAGACCAGTGGTCGAGACTCAGGGATGGTTTAGACCTCCAGCATTTGGTCCTACTTACGGGTCACAGCCGATTTATCATCACGGATCGCAGTATGCGGCAGGTCCTAGTCAGGCGGCGTCTGAGCACCCTTACATGAGCGGGCAGGAGCCAGTTTTCCAGGCTAGTCCGATGGCTATGGCAGGAGCGGATCCGGCATCCTCACAGCCTGATTTCCAGCCCTATTCACAGGGACTTGATGCCGATTACCCCTTTTGGTCTGCAGAGGACACGATGGAGTTGTATCGCTCTGTAGGCCTTGTTGCAGAGAGCCATGACAGTGGGGAGACTCTAGCCACGGATTCTCACAGTCAGGGACACACCCTTTTTGATGTGTCGGGCAGCAGTGCAGGACCATCAGATGATTTCATCCGTGCGGCGATGGATGACTTCCACACTCCACCTCCACAGGACCATCAGGGTGACCCAGTCTGGGACAGACGTATACTACCAGATAGGGATGCACAACATAGGCCATGGCCATCGTGGTCCTAGTTTCATTGACATTTTGTTTATTCATTATGTTGTGGACTGTTTCATATTGTTATTATTTTGTTCTTTTGTATATGTCATATGAGTGTAGCATGTTGTTATATTGTGGACGCTACATTATTATATTATTTGGACTATTCACTATGTTTTGGTTATCGTTCTTTGCGGATTTATATTACGGTAACTAACAGCATCAGCTAATTAATAATTCAAGCTTAAAAACATACATAAACGGAAAGTAAAAAGTCCAACATAACGGACATTACAATTCATGCAATAACATAACCAACAGCAACAATATGAACATAATATGCAAATCATTCGTTTCTCCCACGACTTGGACATCGCTGACGAGTGAATTGAATGGAGGAGGTGAGGAAATATATAGAGCACACATGTGACGCCAGTTTTGGGCGTCACATGTGACGCCCCATTTGGGCGTCTCTCCCATGGATAAGACGCCCCAATGGGGCGTCACATGTGACGCCCAAAACTGGCGTCACATTGTGCAGTAGATGTGTAATTTTTTACGAAACAACATTAAATGCGTAATTATTTTATTTAAATACAATATTTTAATTTTTTTGCCTACTTTTTCTCCTATCTTAATTAATGATTGATGTCGAGGACAATGTTGTATAATTATAACCAGAGATTTTCTAGATGCTTTCTATTTTTTATATTTATTAAAATTTGTATTTGATTTAATTAAACAGTTATTCAAGATCTAATAACCCCTACTAGATACGGACCAACCCTATGAAATCCTTTAGAGCTCCCCAAACACTAGACTTAAATTATTAACAATTTCATGTTTCGTAATAAGTTTAGCCAGGTACAGGTTATATCATAGTAGGCCATGAAACATTGTTTTCACTTGCTGTGGTGTGCAAATTGTTCCGGAAATGTGCTCGAAATAGCTTTGCATAGTTTACGGATATTCAGTGGTTGGTTGAATATTTTAACTTAGGCCAACTAATTATGTTGCGGTCTTATTAAATAATGATTGGTGTTTTACCATATTAGAGACAATTTTGTTGAATTGACATCTACATGCATAATTCATGGACATGAAGTTCAAGTATTCATTTTTTTTTCTGCCAGAATCCAAATTGTAGCTTATTAGTTTATAATTCTTCTTTCGGATCATGCATTCCCCCCCTCTTAATTTTCTGACTTTTTGCAAGCATTTTTGTAGTCCAATAATAAAAAGAAGAGTGCAAGACTATCCAACCAAGTTAACAAGTCAAACCTTTTGTAGCAAAAGACTTGGACCCTTCTGCTCGTTCAATGGCACAAAGACTTGACCTCTTCAAACTTAGGTATAGTCACATAGAGGGGGTTCTAAAAGCAACAGAACAAGCGTGGTTAGCTTTGTACCCAATGCCTTTACCTTGTAAAAGAATCCAATTTTCTGACTTACACCAGCTCTTTTTGATTGGTCTCACTGTAAAGAAAGAAAAAGAATGGTAAAGCAGTAGATAGCCCTTACGTTTCCTTTGCTCTGCCTTTCTCTCTTTTTTATGAGCCTTTCTTTTTTAGTCCTTTTTCTCTTTCGTTTTCTTTCCTTCTTTATACCCTCCTTCTTTTCCTTTTCTTCCCTTAAACCTTTTTGGAAGTTTCCTATCACCATCCCAGCATCCTCAGCATCTGAAATAGCATCCCTGTAACTGCTGCATATAAGTATATAATGTAAGACCCACACTACTATCCCCTACTTAGTACTTCAATCTATTGCCCAATTCCTTTTTCCTATTAAAAAGAGAAAAAAAAATCAACTATAATAATAAGCTCCATGTTCTTTTTAATGATTCATTTATAATGAGAAGTTACCTATTGTATTCCTACACTTTCTTGGATTAGAATCACCTATAGAGTACCTGAATAAATTATAAAAAATGATTTATAATAAAAATCTAAAGTTGTTCAAATGTCCTTATAAACAGATAGGGTAAACTGGTTCAAAATCTCATTGAATAGCCACATTTTTTAAAGTTAAAGTGCTTATTGTAGTTTGATAAATTGCAGCCTGTGCCTAATATAAAGAAGGATAACATAAGTCTCCTCCAATAGGATATGAGAAATTTTTTCAGCAAACACAATAAAGCTATTGGGGCCATTGAAATTTGATTTTTTTTTTTTTTTTTCCTATATTGTAGAACCCACTCTTTTATTGTCTTATTAGAAAAGAATTATCTTCTTCTTCAATTGCATGAGATTTATATTACCCTATAAATAAATCGATATATGAAAATTTGAATTCAAATTTGACATTTGATTGGGAAGCAGAAAGATACCTAAAATACAATAGAAGAGATAAGTATTTCATCCGTTGCGGTGCGATCAGAAGTGGGCCATAAAAATCTCTGTTATATAATATACCTGTGAAACTCTGAAACCCTTCATTCATGACACTCTGTGTGTCTGACGAGTGAGCTCAGAGACACTGTACACTCAGGCCTTATGGTCAGTCTACTGTTTCAGGTCTAAAAAATCAATTTCAGAAAATTAAATAAAACATACCAAAATAAAAACAAAAAGGACATCATTTCTCTTCAAAAAGCAAAAGCTAAATAAGACCCTCTTATTCCCAAAGAAAGCACCGTATTCAATGCTCTTACACAAGTCATTAAACGAAGTGAAAAGTGAAAACTCCTCTCTCTATCTTTATTTTGTACACATTCACCCAACTGTCCCTATAAAACCCAAAACTCAATTCCAAATCAAACACCAAAGCCCATTCTTCAAACTCTTTATTCTCCTAACTCCTCTCTCTCTCTCTCTCTATATATATATATATCAGTCTCTTTCTAGTTGACTCCATGGACGCTCTGAACTTCTTCAAGTTCTGGAGGAATGCCATCATGACTAACACTACTTCCAACACAGCTCCTCATCTTGTTGTAGAAACAGACAGCGAATCCGACGAAGACGACTCGTTCTTCGACTTGGAACTCACGCTACACGATTTGGACAACAAAGAAAACAGCAACAACAAAACCGACGAATGCTCCTCAGAAAACAAGGTAGGGAGAGAAAGCAAAGTCCTTTGTTTCAAAGATGGACTCGGTAAAACAGCAAAGAGTGCTAACGACAACAGTGAAGTTGATGTTCCGCGAAAAACAACACTTCCTCTGTCCTCTAACGAACCAATCTCCAAAAGAAAAGTGCTCCCAATCGAGCCTATTTCTAAACCTCAATCTCCCATTGCACTTCTCAGATCAGCCCCGAGCTTCAGAATCTTCATGTTCAGGAAGCAAAAGCGAATGGCAGCACAGAAAACACATGAACCTGCTAAAGTTGGTTGTGACATGGGGAGGAACCAGAAGAAAGAAACCAAGGTCTTCGCAGTGAAACTAAACATTGAAGAATTCCGTAATTCTACGACGCTTAGCAGAGATAACAGCACGAGAACCTTCGGAAGCAAGGTTCGAAATCATGGTTCTGAAGATCCAAAGCCAGAGCGGTTTTCAAAGGAGGTATTGCAGAAATATCTGAAGCTGATTAAGCCTCTGTATGTCAAAGTCTCAAAGAGGTACAGTGAGAAGACGAAGTTCTCAGGGGAGGCATCCACGGCTTCGCCATCGTCGTCACCGTCGATGGCCTCTGTTTCTTCGAGAAAAGAGAAACAAGGGGGTTTTCCGGCGGGGATAAGGGTCGTTTCTAAGCATCTGGGTAAGAGCAGGTCGTCATCGACGGCAACCGGAGTAGGTTCTCCGGCGAACAGGAGTGATGATACGCTGCTGCAGCAGCATGATGGGATACAAAGCGCTATTCTGCATTGCAAGAGGTCATTCAACTCCAGAGGTAATTTTTATTTCACTATCATTAGGCTTTCTTCAACATGCTGTATTATAATTAGGTAAATTATGGGTTCTAATTATATTCTGACTGTCTTCTAAATGCTCTTTCTTCAGAAGGATCAACACATTCGCTGAGAAACTCTTTCGAGGATGAAGATGGGGCTTAAGGGTGATACTATCTATGTATGTTGGTTGGACTCTGAAAGAGAAAATGCGGGAACAAAGAGCACATAATTGTAGTTGATGACCATGACGTTGAAAAAAGCTACATAGAAGACAAGGAGAAAGATTTCAATAGAGAAAAAAATAAATATGAAAATCTTGTTTGTTTTTTTTTTTTTTTTTTGTAGTTTGTAAAGGAAAGTAACTTGGAGGGAAAATAGGGGATGATGTTGTGGAATTTGTTTAGGCATGATGATTAGTTAGTAGTGTGATAGGCTCCCCTGCGGGTCAGTGTACATTTGATGGGCCATTGTGAACAGAATCCAATTTACCTCTGATTCAGGATCTTCATTGTATCTCTCTGTTCTGTACTACTGTGTTTGTGTGTTTTGCACTTTGCATTCTGTTTCAAGTTACTTTCTAAGGGCTTTTGATTAGATAGCTAGCTATCAAAAGATTCAAATCATCATTACGTCTGTGAGGATTGATATGACTTGCATCTAAATTCAAGTTCCTTCTTTTATCTAATAAATGATAACGGAGGAAAAGTGAGAGAAAAGTAGAACGAGAGAAGCGAATGTGTATGTAGAATTCTAAAATTTATTAATATTTGTCCTTTTGAGATATATAATTTTCTTAGAGAAAGATATAATTTAGTTTTTTTATATAAAAATTAAATTTGAAAAAATCATTTATTTTATTTTTATTTTTTTGACTTAAAATGATATAATTTTATATTTTTTCAAAAGATAAATATGAAAAAAAAGTTATTGTAAATAACAAAAAAATGTGTAGATTTTAATAAATTTAAATTACAATAGATTTTAAATTAATTCAAATTTAAGTATATCTTTGTTTGTCAGACAAATTTACTCCAAATAACTTTGTCATTCATTTTTGTATGGTTTGATTGTTATTCTTTATTTAAGTAATTATTTTACCATCTATGCTGATTCGCTGAATGTGGTGTGGCTTTTACCTGTTATAATCTATCTTTTTATTTTATTATTGTGAAGGTTTTTTCCCGGAAATTGACGCTTGGCATTGTTCAATCTCAACGTGAAAATTTAAGGCCAGGACCACACTCTAAAAAAAACTGTGAAGTTATAATTATTAATTAAAAAATTATTAAATAAAATCACAATAAAAAATATGTATATATAATAATTAATATTTAAATTTTTATTTTGTTAATTTTGAAATTAATATCTAATTTTTTTTTCTTCAATAAAAAAATAAAATCCAAACTCTGAACAAATGCATCTTCATGATGGTCAAGCAATCGTTCATGACAAATTATATAAATAAAGGGAAAAATATTTATTCTTTTAAAATATATAATTTTGTATCATTTTATATCTTAACCGTTAAATTTTGTCAATTAACAGTTATAATTTATTTGGTCAAACTTATTAATTAATTATTAATTAGTAATAAAATTCAATAAATCATAACAATTGGTTAATAAAAATTAACAGTTAGAATCTAAAATAACACAAAATTATATTGAACAGACGTTTTTTCCATAAATTAATAGATAATGAAGGCACAAAAGTGGAAATGAATATATGGAATTAGGAGAAAAATGGATAAGAATGCTTATTGTAGAAATTAATGTGTCATTGATTATGGATTCACGTGGTAAAGAAGAATAAGAAAAAATTATTTAATTCCATGCTATTTTTTTATTCATATCTCATTATCTCTCATATTTAACTCATATGATTAAAATACAAATACAATTTTACCAAAAAAATATAAGTATAAAAATAAAATAAATTTATTTAATGGTTAAAATAATACACAAATATTTTCTATTGTGAAGTCCTTGACCGAGTTTCCAAAAAAAAAAAAAAAAAACCTTGACCGTTAATTTTATTTTTAATTTTTTGGTTCTCTCAATAAAAATATTTAAGAGATTAAAAAGCATGAATCATTAAAAACCGGACATAGCCCGTAGGCCGTAGCAGTTGATGTTTGACTGTGGGTGACTTCATCGGTGACGTCATACACCCACAATCTTTCGTCAGCAATTGATTTTGGATGCTTCCTCGCATTCCTTTAGAAATATTTAAAAATTAAGATAAAATTATTTATAATAAAAACGAGTATATTTATAAATTTTTTGTTAATAAATTTTTGTAAACTATATTATGTTTGACCGATTATATTTTAAGGGTTCGCGCAGTTACTGCAGATAAGTTATCTGCAGTAAGCCAATACAACGTTGTTTTGGACGGAAATCATGGTGTTTTTGTAATTTTAATTTATTTTAGGGTTATAATAGTCTTTATATTTATAATTTTTTAAGATTTAAATACCAAAACGACATCGTTTTGGAAATAAATGCAGATAACTTCTCTGCATTAACTGTGAAAACATTTTTCCCATATTTTAATTAAGAGTGTATGACCGATTATACATAGTATAATTTGTAAAATAATTTGTAAACGAATCTTTCTTCGTTTATAATTAATACATACAAAAATTATGTAAATATAAAGTAATGTGTGGGAGAATTATTATTCTTTGAAAAAAAAAAAGTCGATTTTGAAAGTTAAGAAAAGGCATTTTCTGAGTAGTAGTGTGTATATAGGATCTCCTTAAGGTGGTGTTTGATTGGGAGCTTTTCAGCAGATATCTATCTTTTTTAAGTATGGCTTTTAAAAATACCATGTTTGTTTCAACGTTTTTCATCAAAAACCCATCTATCCAATTTGTCTGGATTTATGAGAAACATAGATATCCGCACTGTTTATAAACCCAATTTGAAGGTGGGATTTTTCAGAAAACCAGTTATCTGGCTTGTAATGCACTATTGATTTCATAAAGTTAGCTAATTTTTCCAGTAAAGTTTTTCCCCACCAAACAACTTTTTTTTACATTTTTCTACCTATCTCACTTTATCTATCTTTCCAATCATTTTTCTATCTATCTCATTTCCCTACTATTCCTAAAAATTTTCCTGAACCAAACACTCCCTAAATGTTACCCTCTTTATGCCAATTGCTTTCAACGAGTGTAGAGAGGTGAACCCAAAAAATTATATTTGTGGGCAAATTTTTTAACAAATCAAACTTATAGAATTTCAAATAAGATATAGTTTAATAAATATATTGAATTGACGAATTTAACATAGTTTGTTTCATTGCCATGTGCTTATGTCAACAATGGAATGTAAGAGAATCACAATTTAAAACCAAAAAATATGTACCAACAATCTCAACAGATGCACCCATTGAATAATTTTAATAACAAATATAATCATAACAAAACAAATCCAAAAAGAGAGGGGAAGCTCATAGAACCCAAATTAGGCAAGCACCTAAAAATAAAGCTCTATAATACCCACATCACTACTCTACTTCAATTATCAAGCACCATAAAGCTAAACAAATAAATTCCAGAAATTATAGTAAACTATAATTATTTTATATCCATTTTTTCTTTCACTTTTTGTTGGTTTTTGAGCATCCAAACAGCATAAAACTACCAAAAGATCAAAACTTTACAAAGAGAAAGCGAACACAACAGGGAAATGGGTATCAAGTTTCTTCCTCATGGTAACAGATTTTGGGTATCAAATGAAGCAAAAGAAGGAAACTCAGAAAGTGAAATCGATCATCAACAAGATGAAATCAATGCAACTTATTTTAGATTCAAAGGGCACACAATGCCAGCTTTGTTAAGTAGCCCACCAGTTATGAAAAATAAAATATACTACGTATTTTTTGGGGGTGTAAACATGTTTTTTCAGAAATTTTTTTTTTTTAGGTGGGAGGGTCGCCCACCCACGCCCCCCATGTAGGTCCGCCCCCTCCAGTGTTATTAGACCCGGTTCGAATTAAGTATCGGACCAGCCACGTATCAAATTTAGTCAAATCCAGTTTAAACCAATGACCCAGTTGGATAATAAAAATCGACGGATCATGCATTTTTCTTAAAAAAATAAAGTTGTCTCGTTTTGTCTGAAAAAAAGTGTGGAACTCCTTTCAAAAACTTTGTAGTTTTGCTTGCTAGTAGTATACTCGCTCTCCTATAATGACCTCAAATTTCAATTGAAGTATTTGCGAAACATTAAACTAATTAGTTTTTATAGAAATCCATTTTTATAGAAATAGTTATTGATAAATGCCTTATAATTATTAAACATGATTAGTTGAGAATATTTGGTAGAGGAATTATATATGGGAAAAAGGTGTGTCATTTTAAATGACACACCTTATATCCTTTCACTCTCACAAAGAAGTGGGACCCACATTTTTAAAACTTTTTTCCCCCACTCTCTCTCCTATGATTTATCTCTTTATCTCACTTAAAATGACCAAACTTTGTGTCCTTTAAAATGATACACATTTTTCCCATTATATATTGTTACGTGATATTTGGATTTTCTTTTTTTTTTTGTTTATTTTTTTTACTATATATTGTATGTGGTTTATATGATTTTTTATCTCAACAAAAATTATATGAATTTTTATAAATAAAATATAAGTTTTTATGTACTAACCCAAATTATGCGATTCAATAGGTAATTCATTGATTGAACTGGTGATCCAATAAGCCAGCGGATCAATTATCGGAATAACGCTTCTATAGATATCAGGTTCGGGAAGGAATATGCTACGAATTGGATGGAATCTAAACTGACAAGTGGCATTTCAATCATCTTGCTCCAACTTCAGGATTCTTAACTAGTTTTTTGGATTATATTTTGTCTTGGACGGGTGCTTATAACATTTTTATTTTCAATAGTGCTGTAAGTAGTTTAAATTTTAAATTGAGTTGATTCAATTTTATGAATTTGTCCGAATTTATATGGGAAGGGTAAATTAAAAGATAGGCCATCCATCACCCATTATAAGAGTCCGAAGTTAGGGTTGTCAAATTCTTAACCAACCTCAGTAACTGATTTATACTCATCAAGTAACATTTCTCTTCTTTAGTTTGCCAGTTCTGATAAGAAATGCATAAGAATCTGCAAAGTATAAAATATAAGCTCAATCTTCATATGAAATAGTATATATGAATTTCTTTGCATCATTACCCAGTTTGAAGTGAGAGCAATCAATGGATTTATGATGTAACGCTATGTGGAAAAGCATTCAGACTATTACAGAGTCCACCCTTATAGCAGCATGATTGGGTAGAATGCAAATTCAAACTCTCAGACAATATGGAGGTTGGTTGATTTGAGATCTTGAAGTTTGAAATGTAATGTTGGTGAGAAAATGACTGTTTTGTAGTAGCATATAGGTCAATAAATGAATTGAGAACTAGGGCTTATTGCCGTGTATAAGCATTTCCAAATTTCTAAGGCATCATTATAAGGAGGAGAGCG